TCGTAACGATTGTATAAAATCTTAAAATTTTATTTAAATAAATAAAATAAAAAACATATTTAACCTAAAAATTTAAATTTTATCATATTTAAAAAATCGATAATTGATTCTTTATATTTGCCTAAAATAAACATTGTCACGATTCCAAAGAAACCCCAAAATTTCTCTTTTAAAAATAAAATCAAAACCTTATTATCTTTAATTAATAATAAAAAAAAATTAATAATAAAAATTAATACTATAAACAAAATCATTTCTAACATTTTATATATCATTTCATCCTTTTCTCTTATTAATTTTATAAATAATTCATCTTTTTTTCACGTTCTTTTCGTTCTTGATTTCGTTTTTGGTTTTTGTATTTTTTTCGTTCTTTAAATTGTTTAAACGAGCAAGTTTCAGCTTCTGTTTGTTCTGATTGATCTGATTCTTCATTAGGTTGAAGTTGATTTTGTTCATTATTTAATTCATTCATTCTATTAAATCATAAATGGTGGTTAGATATTTTTAAAGATCGTTTCTTGTTTCAGGAACAAATACCTATCAAACAGGAGATCGAGACGGCGTTTTGACAAGACCAAAGCTGACTCCATTTTTGTTTATAAATAAAAAGATGATTACTAATTTATATAAACCCAATTAAATTTATAAATAGAATTTCCAAATCAGAATTTTACAGATTTGGACTGATTAACTTTTAAAGGAAAATTAAAAAAAATCGGATTACAGCTCCGATTGAAAGATATAAAATTAGATTAGCTGCAATAATACGTATACAACTTAAAAATGGATTTTGTATATGAAACAAATGAATCTATTTTTAACGAACAAAAAATCTTAAAACTAAAACGTAAAGTGAAGAACCAAAGAAAAATCATAAAGTATAAAAAACTTTACGAAAAGTACAAAGAACTTTATTTGAAAGAGAAGAAACAAAACAAAGAAATCGTTTCTCTATTGAATGATGCTCGTGACTATTTTGGAAAATGTTGGGGGAGTTTTCTCAACGATGTTGAGGAAGTAAAACAATTCGACGATTATTCAAGATATCTTGTGAACGATATCTTAAAAGATGGTCAAGTCGAAAATGAAGAAGTTATCGACTTAACAAATAAAGATGGTGTCATCGATAAGGTTGATGATAAAGGAGATTTTGATTACGAATACTATCTTAAACTCGATAATGCAAATTTATTCGATGATTGTAGTTTCATGCAGTACTTTGAACACAATCATAACTCTATCGTTAAAGATTCATCAGTGTAATTTTATCGGCGTATTTTAAATATATTTGGAAATTTTTATTGTTATAATAAAAGTAAATGTCGCAGTTGAATTTTGTTTATAAAAAATGTCTCAAGTTCTTCTCTTGTTCTCTACGATTCATTTCGTTGATTTTTATATATTTTTTAAAAAATCTTTCAAAAATCTTTTCAAAACTTATTTTATTTTTAACAAAATCTCAATAATCAAAATGTCCAACTACAATTCTGAATCTGAGGATGGTTTGAATTATTTACAACGAACCATCACTCAAGAATATATCAATACAAACAACAAATTAAAGAAATTTGAAGAAACAATTTCTTTTTATCGAAATTGTTTGTTCCTTTTATTTATTCTATTTATAATAGTCGTCTGTATTGGTGGCTATTATATAATCCATTTAAACAACTTAAACATGCAACTTCTTCGCTCACAAGTACAAGTGGAAGTTGCAAAAGAACTTTTCAACAAAAACATCGATTTAATAATCGATTTTCTTAATCAACATCGGCTATAAATAAAAATCAAACGAGTCGATAAAACAAACTTGGAATTTTTTTTAAACAATTAGAAATATTCATTTCTTCAATTAATTTATTTATAATTTTTTTTTTGATAAGAATCCCATGATGTATGTGGAAAACAATTTTCACGTTTAAACACGTTTATTATTTAATTTTTTAATTTTTCCAAAATTGGATAAACTTGAGAACGTGTCTTGTTGATAAAATTATTTTCTTTTAAGAAAAATTAAGAATTATTCACTAGTTCAATGAAATCTCACTTAGAAATATTAACTCGATAAACTTTATTTAGTAATATTAATTTTGATAAGAAAATTTTATTTAAACAGTACTTTCTAGAATTAACTTTCTTAAATTACAATTTAATAAAATTTAACAATATTTTAAAAACTACTTAATCATTATTAAAATGTCTTTTTTCAAAAATCTTTTTAACAAGAAACAAAAAAATGATGAAAAACTAAACATTGTTTTCGAAGAAGAAATTACTTTCAAACATGAAAACAATGAAATATATCAACAATGGGAAGATGAAATGAACTCCCATTGGAACGATATTCTCCAAGAAAATGAAAACTCCTGGGATGATATCGAAGATCGACCCACCTATACGGTCGATTCTGAAGAATTTGAAGAAGGAAATTCTTCAAATAGCTTAACACAACCCACCGAAGAGGAGAATCGATCAAGTTTTTCTTCTCAAGATACACTTGTCGAATCAAGTGTAAACTATTAAATAGAATTAACATTGTTAATTCTAATTCTTTT